CAAAACTAAGGTCACCTCCTTGTACCCCACCAAAGGAAAGAATCATTAACAATTAATTTAATTAAAAATGTATTTAATTTTTTACACCCAACTGTTCAATAGTTGTATTTTTCATTATATCAACACAGAATTGTGAAGCACATGTCTAAAAGTGTAGGTTTTGTACATAAAACTATCTCAACTTCGTTTTGTTTTATAAATAAATTACTGCCCTCCATGTTATCAGATGCTACTCCATCACTTTCATGAGCCTTGTTTACCAGAGTCAAGAATAGAAAAGAATGAAAGAATTAAAATTCTGAAATGTACAATGACTTAAATTTTCATAAAGTTGATGCTTTTAAACTTACTTTGGGAAACATTTTGTGAAGTTTGAGAAGTGTTATGTACAGTTCTGATTGCTGGCCAATGATTATTGCAGTGCTTATCAAACAAAGACTTGCACAACTCATCAGCACCATCACCAGATTGAATGGGCTAATAATGTTTCTGAAAATCCTTGGTCTATTCCAGTTCATTGATGTTAACTGCCAGAATACTATTGTTATCAACCAGCAAATCTCTATTTTATATTCTATTTTACTTTATCATTGCTCATATTCTTTTAAAAGTCTTGCAGCAATGACAATTCTTTGCACTTCACTTGTTCCTTCATAAATCTCTGTGATTCTTGCATCGCGATAATGCCTCTCAGCAGGCATATCAGTAACATAACCCATACCGCCAAGGACTTGAATGCACTGGAGACAAAAACATCAAATGATCATCTTTGCTTCAGGTTGCAACCATCCAGAATTATGTGTACTATACAATTGGAGATTTTTTTTTCCAACGTAAACTGCACTTGTTGACATTTCAAATACCTCCCCAATGAAAACACACCAAAAAATAAGCATAGTGCAGAAAAGTTAGGCTGTTATTTAAGGAAACCATCACTAAGGGTATATAAGATTGACAAAAGACTTAATTGTGATGATGTTCATTACAAAACTTTTATGGGGATTAACCTTATGCTGAGAATTTAATGCATTCTGTACTGAAAGGGTCTATGGAGTCAAACAAAATATGAAAAACAAGTGGTTTTGCTTTTTGTTTTGTCTGACAATACAACAAAACCCAGTGTGATTGAAGCTATGAATAAAAATCAATGTGAGCTAATACTTCAAGTTGAGTTATTAATTATTTAAAGGATATTGAAAAGTGTATGGAAAAAATAAAAAATACCTGATGAGAAATGTAAGTAGCAGCTTCAGATGCTGCAAGTTTTGCCATTGCTGCCTCCTGAGAAACAATTTTCATGATTACAGTTACTGCAAGGTTGAACCATTGTGTTAATCCTTACCAGCATCAGACCATAAGGGTCCAAGGCTTAAATCTTTGTTTTTACCAAAAAACGATTTAAAAATTGACCCATCTTGATATGTTTATCAAGCACACCTTAGTGAAGTTTTCTCCTGCATCTTTTAGCATTGCTGCTTTCCAAGTCAGAAGTCTAGCACTGTCTAACTTTACCTCCATATCAGCTAGCTTCATCTAGAGAATACAGTAATTAAAAAAAGACAGGAAATTTGTGTTACAGAGATGTACTAAATGTAATTCTGTCTGTTTAAATATTATAACTACATCTATTGATACTCGAGTTTTAGTATGGCTATCAAAATGATCTGTTTTCCTTAAAATACCAGTAATTACCTGAATTCCCTGTAAACTTGCAATTGGCTGTCCAAAGGCACTCCTTTTTTGAGCATAGTCAATTGCACATTCTAATGCAGCCTAAAAAACCAGATAAGTTCTTTGATCAGTGCCAAGACAATTGCTTTAATTACCGTATGTTACTTAATGTTATAAACTTTTCATGCCATACTATACAGACAGCAAATTCCAAGCTTAAAACTCTGATTGAGTCGTCAGCATCTTCATTTAATTAGTTACTCTATTACCTATCATGAAAACAAAAACTATGCATGCTAGGTAAGTGATATACATGTGCAGTATTATTACCTGGGCTATTCCTAATGCTTGCCCTGCAATACCAATACGACCTGCATCAAGTGTGGCCTAAAATTGAACACATACATGTCTAAAATGTGTATTGACTTATATATATATATATATATATATAACACTTTCTGTGCAGAAAACTGTTTTAACCCCCATAACACCCTACTATAAGTATTCATATTATCACTGATTTCTCTATATTTCCTATGGTGATGATATGGAAAATTTGTTTGACAACCATGAGTTTCTTAAATTGGTGGTTATTTCCATTAATCTCAGGACATATACATTTAACATAAGGGTGATACTGCACGGAGAAGTTCGAAGCCAGTCACTCTTAGGGGTTAAAGGTAAAGAAATGGGTGGGAGTACATTCTTAGATTGCCAAATTTAAGAGCGAGTCCTAGAAAAAGGTTTGGTAAATATTTTACTGCCTTTGGTCTGTCTCTAGATATTTCAAGATAACTGAACAATAAGGGCACATACTTTTGGATCAAAAAAGTTCGTTGAATTTTCCATTACAAATAAAATATTGTATCTTTTACATTAAATATTATATAAGCAAACAAAAATCAAATTCTTGAATTAGAAGAACATTCTAACCATTGCTATCTTGAATCCTGCTCCAAGTTCTCCAAGAAGATTTTCCTTTGGAATGAGGCAGTTTTCAAAAATAAGTAAACAAGTAGAAGAGGCTCTTATTCCCAACTTGTCCTCTTTCTTTCCAAGACTCAGCCCCTCAGTAGGTTTGGGTACAATGAATGCACTGATTCCCTTGTGTTTCTTTGATCTATCTGTTGTGGCAAACACTACTGCTGCTTCAGATTCATAACCATTAGTGATCCAGGCCTTTGTTCCATTTAAAACCCAATGATCTCCTTCTAAGTAGGCAGTGGTCTTAGCAGCACCAGCATCACTACCATTGTCTGGAAATGCAATCAAGACAAAACTTAGTTATCTGAGTCCAACAAATTCCAAAGAGTTAATGGTTTGAACCCAGGGGTAACATGTGATACTGTAGTCTGGTCATCCAGGTGAGTGTAGTCCTGAAAAGGACTGTTGTTTGTAGTGGTGACTGACATTCAACAACCTGAGCAGTATTCATCATCAGAGTCAAGTAAGTGATTATGACTTCCACTCAGGTGGTCTACAGTTCCTCTCATATTAACCACACCCACCCGAACAATCATGTGATCCCAAACTATTACTTACCACTCACAAATAAATACTATACCATGGTGAGTGCCTATCTTGCTGTTCTAACCAGTTGTTGCTTCCCATGGAATATAACAATAAAGAGAGTTTTCTGAGAGTGTGAAACATTTTGATTAAAGGAACATTACAGTTATTTCACACATTCATTAATTCTTAAAATAAATACCTGGTTCACTGAGAGCAAAACAGCCAACTCTTTCTCCAGAGCAGAAAGGTGTAATCCACTTCTTCTTTTGTTCCTCTGTCCCATATTTAAGAATAGGACCCAGATAAAGGGACTGAAAAATAACAAACCACAATTGATTTCCCTTTAGCTTTCATTAAAATACTGTGATACAATTCACCAGATGAAACAAGAATTCTAACTTAATAAAACTGTTAACACATTGTCAGTTATTCTAGTTGTGATGTGACTGTTACTAGTAATTTCCAAGGTTGTGATGTCAATGTGATAGTTCCCATCAATTTTATCCAACAAAAAAAAATTATAAACATTGCCAACTTGATTAAAACCCCATCTCTCAATCCAGAGTAAATTGCACTCTTTGCATAATTATATAACCTATGGATGATATAACTGGCCCAAAAATACCTTGTTTTACACATTACGTATCATACATACATTATTCACACTCATGATAACCCCTGTGGATGCACAGCCACGACTGATCTCCTCCATTGCTATAGAATACGCCAGATAATCCAGTCCTGACCCTCCTAATGATTCAGGAACTTCCATTGAGAGAAGACCAAGTTCCCCAATCTGTTTGACCTATGAAAGAGAGATTTAATGGTAAGTGGACAAATCTTATTGCACTATTATTTTTAGAGCCATGGTTTCATATCTTATTTAAAGTTGGGCAGGAGAGAGGAGGGGATAGGAGTAAGGAAAGTGGGAGGGGGTGGGGGAGGGGGAGGGGAGAGGGAGTGTGGGGGGGGGAGGAATGATACTATGCAGAGTTTCCAATTGCCTGACTGAATACAAAAAATTAAAATATGGTACTAATGTGGCAACAGTTTGGTGAGACATGTCCCTCCTACATACCTCTTCTTATGTACAATTTACATAATTGACCACTAATAAGTCTAATTATGTAACTCACGCAATCTGTTACGCAACCATCTCATGAGTTAAAACCAAGAAAATGTGCATTTTCATCCAAAGCAAAGTTCAAATTATGGTGGCAAAAGACAGATTTTCGCATGAATTCTTCAAATAGTAGCCTCATACCTTTACGGTCTTTACTTAACGAGGTCTTCAAAGGAAAAAAATTTAAATTTCATTTCCGTGACGTATGGTGCAATGCCAAACTACAGTTTGCATCGTACACCATTAAGAGTTGATGTTTAAAATTAAAATTGAATTTCCTTTATAAATTCAAGATAAAAAAATAGACATTTCAAATAACTCTACCTGTTCTGTAGGGTATCTATGATCTTTATCCAGATTACCGGCAATGGGTATAAGTTCGTTGTCTGCAAAATCTCGACAAGTTTTTCTCAACATTTCATGCGTTTCGGGAAGTCGAGCAAGACTGGCCACATGTCTTCTCAGTGGTATACATTTATCAATTCTCGACCTCGGTAAAAGGCCGTAAAAAGAACTTTTGGAAGAGATAAGAGAAGAGAACAGTTTTCGAGACATCTTCGTCGCCATCTTTGTTGACCTTTGGAACCAGGCCGTATAGGTATGTTATGCGTGGATGTGATGTAAGAAACCATCATATGAAGTGCATTGAAGTTGTGTCTGTCTCCTTTCTCTTCCGATCCATTGCTTACTGCGTCGTCCAATAAGGTTTGCTGAGAATTAGGGAGCAGCATGTTTAGCGGAAGATTTATTTCATCGTTTTCTGTTTTAATACCAACTGCTTCCTCGAATTCTAATGTTGCAAGAAGAAAATCATGGCTTCTTTTGGTACAATTCAACAACTATGCTAGCAGCGTCAAAAACAAAAGTCAAACAGGAAGTAGACGTTGCTGGAAGTGCAACAGTGAGATAAGATCAGGGGTAGAGTTCTTCTGCCCCTCTTGCAATATCATTCAAATGCCACCGAGGAAGGTGACTTATTTTGAGCTAATGGGGAGGTAATGAAATGTCAGCTGTTAATTCACATGTCATTCTTCCTTTCAGCCAATCACATTTTAGATAATGAAAGTGTAAAAGGTCAAAGGTGAGAATAAAACAAATATTCCCTAGGACTGGGATACTGTGGGCTGAGAGAATTTTTGTGGCTCCACCAAAAATCTTGAAATTTTTTCTTTTTTAACAACTGAAAGTGAACAAAACGGTGCAGATGCATGGTGCATCTGGGCTCCTAGCTGTCTTACTTAAAACTTGATACAGTACCTTGATGATGATTGTCTTGGTATGAATTGGTGAATGCCACAACAGACCCAGAATATCATATGTTGTCAAGCAGGCATTTATAGGGAAGTGGTTAAAACTTCCCTTTCACAACTTTCAGAGAGGATAGAGAGATACAGGAGATATAAAAATGAATATCTCAATTTTGTGTCCCTTTTGTAAGCCTACTCAATACAATATAATGTGTGATCCTGGGCTTGTGCTTGAAATACTAACAAGTTATAATTATTTCTGTTGATGCAGTCCCACATCATTTGACATTGATACCAGGCAGCTGACCCAACGTTATAAAGAATTACAATGGAAACTACACCCTGATAAATTTAGTGATCTATCCAAGGTATTTTCAATGACTTTGACAAACAAAGCTGATCAAAAAACGTGTGACAAAATTTTTAGTTTCTAATTGAAATCAATGTGTAATTTATAATTATATCAATTTACTTTGATTTCATCACAGAAAGAGCAAAGCTTATCTGAGGAACAATCATCTTTGGTAAATGAAGCTTACCAAACTCTTCTAAAGCCACTTACTAGAGGGCTTTATCTGGTACGTTCATGTGATGTATCAACCCTTTGACCCTAAGAGTGACTAACATCTAATTTCTCCTTACAGTATCACCCCTGAATTACACATTGAAATCATGAGAATAAAAGAAAATGATCAGGGACTAAAGCAGCTCTTGATTGTTATCCAGATTCTCCTTGTCACCTAAGGAAATGTACAGAGAACAGTATGGAGAATATGTATACTGATGTTAGGGTGTAAAGGGTTGAGTTCACTTGTCAACATACAATACCTTAACCCTTCTGCCTCCCCCCCCTCCCCCTCAAGATATAGGTATCAATTCACTTCATTGTCTGTCATACATTTCCAATAACTTTAGCTCTTTGAATATGGTTCTGTATAGAATCAAAGAAAATTACTTAATTTAAATTCAAATTTCTTGTTCTAGTTAAATTTAAATGGAATACCTATAACAGAAGATGAAGCCAGTTCTACTGACACAAAATTCTTGGCTCTAGTAATGGACAAATATGAAGAAATTTCATCAAGTGAGAAAAAGTTAAAGGAAATCAAAAAAGAAAATAATGGTAAGGACTTTTGAGAAAAATGGAATAATGTAAGTCCATGACACTTCTTCAGTTTATCTCCAAAAGAGGCACTTGTCCCAGCCATCATGTGGTACAGTTACTTACGAACTTAATTTTTCATTTTTAGGCGACCTGGAAAAGTCTGTTAAAAAGGTTTCAAAGGCTTTTGAGAGAGGTAAATAAAGGTTTTGGGGGGATTTTAAATTATTTATCTCTCTGCAAATTAGACAGACTCAGTATTATTATCAAGAATTCATCAGTAGAAAACGTTTTTTTCATTTGATTTTTGTCAATTTTGTCTGCTGAATTACTGAACAGTTAAGCACCATAAAGGATTATAGTACTTAGTGAACACATAACAAGTTCCTCAGCCAATCAGATACAGTTCTACTCTTTTGTGGCAGACATAACTGGATGTAGCTGACTGTGGGCCTCAAAGAAAACAAATGCTTGGCATTAATTTCGGTCTATCAATTAAGACTTCCTTCATCATGATGATAAAACAAGGTTAGGTCTGCATGGAGGAATCTGTATGCAAAAACTGTCCAAAGGACAAAAAATTAACTCAGTAAGTAAAGAATCTGACCACAAAATTAGAGGGCTTAGTTTCAAATTCTCACAGATGACTTGGATCTTCTCTTTTTCCCTCACTTTTGACAAATACTAAAGGGGTGTTACTTAAAGAAAAGATCAGAAAACTCGTATTCATATTTATGTTTATAGGCTTTGTTTAGGTGCTTATAGAAATGTCTGTTTGCCTTCAACTTTATCTCGTGCATCTTGTTATTTTTAGGAGACCTAGAGACAGCAAGGAAGGAGGTGGTGAAGCTTAAATATTTCTCTAAAATTGATGAGTTTATTAAAGACAGAGAAGGCTGGGATTGATACGACAAACAGAAAGAAATACCGAACAAGAACAGGCAGCTTGCCAAAAAGGAAATTCAAACTGCAAACTGAAGAGAGACACTACAAAGGAGATTACTCTTGTAGAGTTGCTGTTCTCTAACGCAGTTTATCATCTAAAACTTTCCAAAGAGTGGAGAGGAGACAAGAGTGAGGATTCTCTCTGCGCTAGTTTTTTGATCGAAGTCAAACGGCTCAGGCATGAAATTTATTTTATAAAAGAAGTTCAAATATGAGGATAAAGATCCAAAAGAAACGTCAGTACTTTTGTGATCTAAGTTGTTGTTAAGACTATGCAAAAACCACTACTAAAAATCTCCCATACAATTCCACACAATAGATAAACTGAAAGAGCATTTTGTAGTATGCTGTTGGTATAAATCACTCAAATGTCGTTTATCTTAACTACGGAGACGTTGAAAGGGAATATTGGATAGCCTTATTTCCTTGTTATTTTATCATAGTACTTGAGTTATTAAAGAAGAGAGGTCGAAATGGGTATGAAATCTATCGCTGGTTAGCCACGTTTGTAGCCTCTGTAGGTTTATAGCAATATCCAGCGCGCGCAGTCCTAACACATTACCAATTCAAATAACTTTCCTGTTTTTAATGGGAGGCGTGTCAATCTCTTAAAGAGAAATAAAAAGCGAATACAAGGAAGTATTTGTAGATAAACATTTGTGAAAGCAGTTCCTAGATTGACTAACATTTTTGGGTCGTTTCTCAGACCCTAAGATTCATGCGCGCGGCATGATTGACAGCTGTAAGGCTGTAAGGCTGACGTTTGGAGCGTTAGCCCTTCGTCAGAGCAATTGACAAGGGGCTAACGCTCGAAACGTCAGCCGTTAAACTCTTTACGGTGGCCAATTTACGTTTTTAACTCAGTTGATGACACTAAATTATCACGTTATACTCTCCCACCGACGCATCACCCCAGTTTCTTTAGAAACTTACCCCCTTCATGACTGACAGCTAACCAATTATGACGTCAGATGATTGTTTCGGTCGCGCGAGTTTTGGTGAGAAATGTATTTACTCAACGAAGATGTGAGTTTTATATGGTTATCGCCCTAAAATGAGCATGGGTTGCGCTCCTAGTTATCCCATTACGAGAAGCCCCGTCGTTTATGAGCCAATCACGTATTTTAATAGAACGGGTGAGTTCTATAGATCGGTTTAGGCGTGAATGTCGGCAAGTTACGTTCCAAGTTGCAAAGGAAAGAATATCGATTGCGGTAAAGTATTTATGTACTTAAAAAAAAAGCGATCGCCAATCATTTTTTGCTTCGAACAGTACATTAGTGTAATGGGTTCAGCGAATGAAGAATCGTCATTTCATAGGGTTAACTTTTACTCCTCCGACAAAAAAGGTGTTTTCTTTTAACTAGCAACTGCCTCTCTATTTCTACATGTAATTCAGAGTCCATGATAGCTTTCATTGGGTATTTCCCACAACTCACATGGAGAAGAAAGTATCAAACTTTGTGAATGATAATAAATCAACATATTCCAAAACATGGAATTTTTTACTTTTTCTGATTCTTCCAGGAACAAGGAAATCACACGGCGAAAACGAGCTAAAAAATACGGAATTTCAATCAATTCAAGAGCAGTACTGGGGAAAACTTCTCATGGAACGAAGATTATCAGCTATGAACAGGAAAAAATTTCAAGGTATGGTGTATTTTGTTTCATGATCGAATTGGCTCCAGGAGAATTCGACTCGTATTGACATCGAGCACTTTTGTTTCATCTTAGCCCTTTGCATCTACTTGTTTTCAGAAATGGGTGAAAAAGATTTCAGATCGTTGATAGAAGAATTTCCAGAATTTAAAGAATCCGACATATCGGACTTACGATTACAATTTCAGACGTTTGATTTAAACCAAGATGGAATAATTGATTTTAGAGAATTGTAAGTATCCAGACTATTTAATGTGTCGTAACATGAACTTACTTTATAATCGTTTGCGTGGGTCTTAAGTCCTTAAGTTCCTTTTTACTGAACACAGCCCCCTTACGTAAACCCCTAAAATCATGCAAACCAAGACAGAATAATTTATAAATTTTTCATCGCACATCGGTAGGCCTGCATCGTAAAACAAGGTGATTATGATATACAATTTAAAACCACGCCAACTCCAACTCCCAATGGAGAGGAAAATGGTTCGACTCAGCAGGAGATCGAGTCATTAGGATTGGTGTTGAATTTCAATTATCCTGTTAATGACTTTAATTATTAAAATAAAGAATCACGTTTATACCATTCTTGTCTGGAGCCCATTATGGGCTCCTGTTCTTGTACAATCGAGTTAACTGAGTTCGGGTTAGCTGTTAGTAAATGACTGAAAAATGGGTTCAATTTCAAGGGAAATCGGATCTTGTTCGAATCAGCGGGATTCTACTGTATTTTCACCTATAATTAAGTACCCCTTTCAGTTCAAGTGTCCCTGACCGCGAGTACTGACCACAAATCTTCATAAGAAGAGACAACCAAAATTTTTCGCTTACCCTTACGCCCCCTCCTCGCCCTCCTCCGCCACCCTTAGGGCCTAGAAATTATTCCTGACCACTTTATTGGACAGCAAAGAAAAACCACTTTTCGAGTCAACCCCACAGTAAACACTAATTCAGTACTGGTATCTTTCATTAGAACGCAGGTCCTCGATGACCTAGGGGATAAGTCTGAGCCTGCCGTACGGGAACAGTATTTCAGTGACATTGATAAAGATGGATCCGGTGCTATTGATTTTGAGGAGTTCTTAACGGTAAGAAACAAACTTTAGATACAACGGCTGAGTTTTGTCAAGTAGCATGGTCCCTTCTTACTCAAAGATGGTTTCAATATGGAGGAAGGGGGGGGGAGTTGGGGCCCTTTTTAATAATCGACGACTGAAGATATGTCGTTTTGATAGTCGACGGTAAAGTGCTCGGAATAGTGGTCTCACCTCATCCATCTGGGCCAAGTTGTCCATAGAACAGATAAAGCTGTCCAACAGCTAAATCACTATCCACCGGGTAAATGTTAACAAAACGTACTACGATATCCTTCGTATAGAGATTTTTCAAGTGGATGGCGTCACTCATCCTCCACCCTTCGAACAATCGGGGCCTGGTATCGATTTTCTTGCTCATATAGGGTTCAATAGGTAAGGACTCATTGTGACGAGACTCAATTGAACATGCAGTAAACGTCTCTCACGGTAATCAAACGTTTTTCAGCGGCACAGAAACGGCTTAGAGAAAGATTTAATAATCAATTTAAGGATCAAAATGTTTTCTTTTTGCAGCTCATTTATCAGCTGCGAAAGACCAATGCAGATTTTCTCCGGTCAAGCGAGTTGGGTCAGATAGGAAGCTTGTGCAAACGTGGCACAGACAATATTCAAAGAGTCAGAAAACTTAGTGTGGCTAAGCAAATGCTCACGGGGCTGTTTTAGGGGAGACTTCCTAACAACAACGTGCAAATTTCAAAACATGAATGACAATGTGATGCAGTTTACTTTGACTATAGTTCAGAATGAATGAAATGTTCTTGTTAATGGTAAACATTTCTATGGTTTGATTCATTCCCCACGATTCTCATAGCTGTGTTTGTATTACGATGCGCGAATTGTATATGAAGCGTTTTTCGGAGCTCCTTAAGGAACTTCTCTCAGTAATCTTAATAAAAAAAATTTTCAGTAAACCATGCGGTACTCTTTCTAAATCCATTCAAGATTAACTCTTAAACTATGGAATGGACGCAATTAAGGCAGCCAAACGGGGTGCGACGGTTTACTCGTAATGCTATCTAATCTTGTTTCACAGGTGTACTATGGATAATCATAACTGCTGTCTGCTGGTAAGAAGGTTCTGTGCGTAAGAAATTTTTGCAATCTTTATTGGAGACCTCCCCCCCTCCCCCCCCCGAAATGGATACCTTGTTATAGAGCAAGGGTTCCGAAATCATGAACTTGCAGTTTTTGTTTGTTTGGTTTTTTTTTGGGGGGGGGGGAGGGGGGGAACAAAAGTATTCAGGGTAGATAGTCCCCCCCAATGGGCGAAGGAGACAAACAATATCGTGCATTTATGGAGCGTACACACACACACACACACACACACACACACACACACACACACAAAGGCAAAGGTTGTAAAAAGGTTTTTTTTTTCAATAACTAATGTGAAACGAAATAAATTTTCGTATCAACCACTGGAAAATTTCGCCAAACGCGAATTGTTGTCAACGTTAGATGTCTAACACGCCATAAGGGCGTTATCTTACAAAAAAATGTCGAGAATTTTAGGCGACTTCTTAAAACTATTGGGATGGAATTTACGGCAAACTTCTTAAAAACTTACTTGAGAACTTTACTTTTAGACTTAATCAATAAGTTAACCATAGGAAAGTAATACAATAACAATTCCTCTTCTATAGAACGAAATTCAAAATTACTTAATACTACATTCACTTGCATGCTTTTATATCTGATAAATAGCAAAAGAGTCTAAATAAATTTAATTGAGATAATCAGAACCTGAAAGGGAACTATAAAAACTCCTTGTGAGAAAATATCACAGAAAAAGACTACAAATGTAAGAAAAGGCATGGTCTTCTTTCAGCGATTCCCCCTTGTTGTAACTTTTGTGAACAACGTTTGTAAGTGGTATGAAAATAACTCATTAGCAAGGGTCCTTGTTTCAGCTTTTGAAAGGCTCTGCCACTTTCATTCCTCAATAAATACTGTATGTCAATCCTGCCAAAGAACTGTTGATAAATACCTTCATTCTCTTGTTGAGCCATAAACCCCTCCCAAAAATCAACAAATGGTCTGAAAGAGATATTATTAAACTTTTCTACAATGATCTAAGTTATTTGACTTTTACAGCTTTGAAGCTCAAATGGTGAAATCCCAAACCTGAAAGAGATCCCACTATAACCTAAAAAAAATTTAACCTCTACTAGAACAAACATGTTATTCAGGCTCGTTGATATTAGAAATTCACTGCTTCTGTAAAGGAATACCTTAAGAGTACTAAGAGTACTTAATAAATAAAACTTCCTGAAAAACACTTTTTAAATATCTGTTCTAAATAACTCTTCCTTGACTTTTGCTTTGTTTTTAAAAAATTTCATCAACACCCTTGTGGAGGAATGGTCATGGAAAAAGTTTGTTGAATTTTTTTATATTTAAATACCAGTTCTCACATTGAACAACACCACCACAATGTTAGTTTGTTTCCTTTGAAATGGTATCAAATAAATGCCTTGTTGCAGCTTGACAAGCTGCAAGTATTCTCAATAAAATGGTTAGTAGGATTTGACAAAATAATTTTTCATTTTTAATAAAGAGAAATAACTCCGTAGCTACTCCTGAGAATAAAAGATGAACTATTGTAAAAGTGGTTGTCAGTCTCTATCCTTGAACATTTTCCTTCCTCTTATATTTTTGTTTAACTCTGGTGTTTGCCTAATCTAGCCAACTATTGATTTTAAGTTCCCTTCTTGAATAACTTAATTTTCTTAAGTGTTTAAAGACTCTAATTGTCTAAGGCTGGCTGACCCCTTTCCCCATTACCCCTCAAGAGATGTGGTTGTGCCCAATTATCCCCAAGGGGTGCAATGGAAACATTTCAAACTATCCAAAATGCTAGTAATAAAGTAGCCTTTTACATGCAATTGAGAATGTTTATATTTTTGAATGTGAAAGACTTGTTGAAGATCAGATTTGAAAAAACAAGCAATGTTTGTTAATTAACAATTTTCTGCTGAGTTAATCCTTTGGAAGAGCACTTGAATACTGTCACTTATACCTGACAGCTCTTGAATAACTTTTTCAGATGGGTGTTGTTTACTCATGAGATCATCCAAGTTCTGAAGTCCTGTTTTCACAGTGTTTACTGCCTTCATGTAGGCATCTTCAATCTATGATAAAATTAAAAAAGAACCTTTTTTTGTTGTCCGCTGACAATAAAAACTAGTAAATGACCCTGACTATTGAACACCTCTGCTGGAAACTCTCAAATTTAAAGCAATCCAACTCAAATCAACTTCCAACTGAATTCCAACTGAATTTCCAACTGAATTAAATATCTCAGCTTAGGATGTAACTTTCAATAAAAACCATAAAAATAACATACTGGAATACACTATATTTCTGTGAGAGGATATTTCTGTAAGGTTGGTTTTCTTCTGTGTGTCTTAGGCTTTCAATAAATTTAGTTTTAAACTGGTTTTACATTCTGAACCTTTCATTCTCTACAAACACTGAGAGGTGCTCTCTGTTCTCACATTTTTGAACAATTAGTTTGTGTCTCACCAATACATTAAATGGTCAATTTTCTAGCTTAGAGACAGTAAAAAATGTATGAAAACTGGCAAACTTTCCCTCCTTTTTGTCATTTTACAATAAAATTAATATCTTAAATGAGCTAATATTTCATCAAATAACACAATCCTACCTTGGATGACTCATCTTTCAACACATCAGGATCCCTGCAAAATCTTTTTGGTTCTGGCTTTTTAAAGTAAAAATAATACTACATTAAATTCCATCTTCTTCCACAGCTAAACAATAAAATTCAGTTTTATATATGAAACCTAAATACCTGCTTTCGACCAGATCTGCTCTGTGGCTGTTGCATATCTCTGATCTGTGTCACTTCACCATTAACATGTGGTTGACCTTCTGTTTTGCTTGGTTCTTTCACAATCACAAGTGCTTCACCTGAATTTACAACTCTAACAATGTCATTAATATTCCATTGCTGAGAAATACAGAACACTTGATGCAAGTTCTGAGCAGGGTTTGAATGAGGAATGTTGTCTAAAGGATTGCTCACATTGCCAACAGTGCTGACTTCTCTTGAAGTAATGTTAATATGATTTGACCCCACACCAGGGGCAACTCTATGATTTGCATCAAAATTTCCTGCTGCTGCAGCTGGAATGTGTGAGTTTAACAATGGAGGAGGTCCTGAGCTATTCAAAGCAATCTTGTTGTTTAGAATTGCACCATTCACAATTCGTGGAGGTCGTAGTAAGTCTTCCATGGCCTTGTAGAGCACTATAGGAGGTGTAGCCCGCAGGTTGTGATTAGAGTAATCAACTGGTAAGAGAGCCTCATGCGACATATCCTTTAACATTCCTGACAGACAGTTTAGTCCAGCAGCTTGTGACCTGTACCAAACTCCACTTGTAGCAAAATCACGGTTTGGTATTTGAAAAAATGCAGAGCAGGATGGGTTTCGTCTTTGAAGGAATAACTTCAATGCTGCAACAGGGCACTGTAAACTTCCAGGTACACTAAACATTTTCCTCCCAATGCCCTTATATTTTTTACTCCTCAACTGATTGGATGATGACTCACTTAGTTTACAAGCTGCATATTCAAGTCCAGTGGTCTCATCAATGTGAAATTCAAACATGTCAGGTGTCAAATCACGCAAGTCATCTCTAGAGGTAATCCCAAAATTGATTCCCACAGCCAGAAACACCAATCTCTGCAGAGATTTTGGAGTCTTGATTCCCACAACTCCAGTGGCCCACAGTTTACGGATCTCTTCCACATTTAAAGCTGAAGCGGTAGAACCACATTCAGAGGAATCAAGGTACTCTTTCTGGGCTGCTTCCAGGTCATGCAATGTCGCATTAGCTTTGCTAAATTCTGGAGAGTGAGTGAGGCTGTAGGACTTGCAATATGGTTCACTCTTAAGATGATGATCAATGGCTGAGCGTATGATTCTCAAGGAACTGGCCCTCTTTGTACCACCATGTTTTAGGTGTGATTCCTTGTAAAACTCGGACAACCAGTTGCTAATCTCTCTTGGTTTCCAATCCTCAAATTCATCCTCCATTCCCTTGCACTTTAACCACTCTGTGAACAAAGACAAAAACATTGATTTGACCCTTTTATTCAAGATCTAAATACAAATCCTCTTCACTGCCTGACATACTGTTCTTTTAATTTCTCAAGGGGAAAGTTTGGTGTTCAATCAAACTTAATATCATAGTTGATATTTTTCTTTCTTCTCATACCCTTACAATTGAAAGTGTATCAAGACTCTCTGAAAAAATTCAACTTTCCTTGAGATAACCCTCATGCTATGAGAATATTGCCAACAGAGATTTTTGTGGACATTACTATCTGCAGTTTAAAGTTTTATACATACAACCTGCTAAAAATATTTCTTTCACTGGAAAAGACATCCCAAAACCAAATACCACATGTATGAGCTGTCTGAGGAGTGAAACTTATGACTATACAATTACTACTTCAGATGCCCTACCATTGAGCTCTAAAGGATTTATGTAAGCAAATTTGTTGCCCTCAATGAAGACAAATGCTAACAACATGCAATACATAGCATTATTTTATTCTTTTCTTTTAATGCAGGGTTGTTATTCCATCTAAAACCATTGTCACCAGTGAGATTTCTGCACATAGCCATATTATACTCTGAAGCTGTAGTCTCAGAGACAATCTATTGTTTTTTGGCACTGTTTTCCTTATACAAGAACTATATGCATAATGAAGTATGGGATTAAGGAGAAATCTTACCACATCCTCCAAGTAATAAATCAGCTTCAAGCAAAAAGACTAAAGTAGCGGACACAGTAAATATCAATGAAGTGTGATACCTTTGAATACTCTGACGTGACTGGCGTAATGCCTTGATGTGAGAGTCGAGATGTGTTTACGACCATGGTTTTCCCTTTGATTACTGTCTTCTTCCTGTGCCTCTACGTCGCCAAAAGAAGCATTCTCGTCCAAGTGAAATTCATCATTTTTCTCTTTCTTTATTTCAATATTGGTGTTGTAATTTAAGCGTTCGACAGTCACATTAACACTCTGATCAATGATATTGGAAATGTTAGCGGGGTTCCTGCTTATCACCTCGTCATTTTCGCGATGGTATTCGTCATTAGCTTCTCTGTGATTATCCATATTATTTTCTTCTGCTCTTTAAGAAGCCAAATTTTCCATGATACTAAAAAAAATCTTCATAAGCCTTCATATAACTCCACTACACAGATGAAAACACGAAACCACTTCTCCATTTTCCACCAAAACAAAAGGCCCTGACAAGTGTTACTTAGTAGCCACGCGACCTTTATTTGGTAGCCAGGCTCACAGATGATATCCCTGGACCACAGCTGGATCGTATTGCTCTCTGTGTTTGTTGTTGTTTTTTCAAGTCTTATTCTCTTTTACCGTCGACAACTTGACTTCCAAAGAGACAAAAGGTCCGAATTTGACGGGAAAAGTGTCCTTGTGGTCACTGCTCACCCAGATGATGAATGCATGTTCTTTTCGCCCACCATTATAAATCTCCAGCGATTAAGCAAGGTTCATCTATTGTGCCTTTCGACTGGTATGTGTGTCGAGGCTGACCTTTATATTATGACATAGCCAAGTAATATTGTAGATAAGTGCAAAAGCAAGTATATGCCTTTCCTCCTTAGTTTATAACTCTACCCACCCTCCTCCCCCTGGGGAAAAATTTACTTTTCAAGGGTGGGTGGGTACTCTTGTTATAACACATACATTACCACCCCTCCCCATATGAGACTTATTGTTAATTCTACTTTAACTTAGATACTGTGTGTACTTGAACTCTTTGTGTCCATTGTGTATGTACACGATAGGTAACTTTTACAAACAAGGAAGTATTCGGAAAGAGGAGTTATTGTCAAGCTGTAGCATTTTAGGGATTCCACCGAAGCATGTCACTGTTATTAATCATGGGTAAGTCTTTAAATATGTTTGTGTGAACTTAATTTAATTTACAAGCAAGAGATAGCAAGTTCTGTGACAAGCAGTGAAGCTAAGTGGCCCATTTTTACCAGCAGTTAGTTGAAAATCATTCCAAACTGAGTTTTAATAAACTGTGAATCTCTTTTTATACTTAAATTATTATTACTCTTTTAGTGACCTTCCTGATGATCCTAAAGCAGATTGGGACACTCAGATTGGAGGACAAATAATCACTGAATATATCAAACACAACCAGATTCAAGTGGTAAGACATTCTGTTTACTCAAATGTTAAAACTCTTTCACCCCTGAGATCTGAATCATTATCCTCCCTTCCAGCTGCAATGCATTCCCTTGTTAAAAAAGTCTAGAGAATTTGGTGTTGCATCTGGAAAAATGCCTCCAGCTGATAAGTTCGTCAAATTCTTATCAACTGTTACTGGATAGTATATTGAAATTGTAACAAGAACTTATTTGCTGATCACTTTTAAGAGATAATTGTTAAAAAAAGTACTAATACGTTCATGATGAGAAAATCATCATTCGTCCTATGTACAGGTTCAACCACTTTCTTGGAACTGAGCCATTAAAAAATAATAACAATACAAAAGATATTTGTTTCCATTTTCTTGGTTGTTGTGTTAATTACGTTTGTATTTTTGTATTACACTGCAGGTCATAACCTTTGACTCTTATGGAGTATCTGGCCATACAAACCATATTGCTATCTTCAAAGCAATAAAAATACTTCAAACTGAAGAACTCCTTGGAGATGTTAATTGTTATGTGCTCACAAGTGTTGGGATTTTGAGAAAGTACATCTCACTCTTTGATCTTCCACTAAGTGTTTTTTCACAGTAAGTAACCAATAAGAGAAACTATATATACTTTTGAAGTTCTGGGTTATGGCCACATTACCTCCTTTTCTGCAGTATGGTGCAATTTACCGATTTCAGAGAAAATATTTTTAGCCTTTAACCCCTTACACCCCAACATCAATGTGTAAATTCTCCTTACTGTTCCATGGTGATGACAAAGAGAATTTGTTCAACATTGAGTTTCTTCAGTTGTTTATCATTCCCTTTTTTCCTGTAACTCTTCTGTTTGTTTCAGGGGTGATATTGTAAGGAGAAATTAGACACTAGTCACTCTTAGGGATTAAAAGGTTCAAGAAGGATGTAGGATGCTGGAAAACTAAATTTTTTGGTTCATTTGATTCCTTCTCCTTCAGGCAGATGTTTCTCCTTAGTCCTCAGGATATGATTTTAGCCCAGGTTAGATCTTTTAAAGGATTTTAAATTAAACTAAATTTCTCACTCATGTTTTGTATAACTTGTTGTTTATTTCGGAATAAATGTTTCTGTCAACAGAAGGCCATGTATGCTCACAAAAGTCAGTTGCTGTGGTTTCGGAGGCTGTACATCATATTTTCCAGATTTATGCTGATAAATACAATTGAAGAACTGAAATAAGATAGCTCCAAAGAGATGATTCAGCAGTGCTACCAAGACACTCAGCAGTCTCAGATAATCACTGAGAGTGATCAAGATCTCAATATTCTCTTGAACAAAGTATGTCATGATATAAGAATAAAGATCAAGTCATAAAGTATAGTGGCTCATAACTGGCTGGCATTTTCTCCTCAGTGGATTGTTGTTCACATCACAGTCAGACAGTCCCCAGCAGTTTTTTTTAAGTTTCCTTGCCCTTGGTCAGGGCTCGGATGTAAACCTCTCAATCCAGAGTCATTGGCCTAGCTTTTCAAAGGGCAGAAAATGCTATCCAATGGATAAATCAATAAATACTAATTAAGTGTTAACAAAATGCAAACATTGCTGCTTTTCACAACAAGGACACCTTCAGCCTCACCTCCCCTCAAAGGCTGGGCAACTAATTACAACTGTAAAATGGCCTATTGAGAAAGATAGCTTTAAACTGCCCTTTTCTAGTCACCACTTCAAAATCTTTTTATTTTTTCTTTTCTTGTTGCCAAGCCTTTTCAAATTATTTGTCTTGTTGATTCTCTTGAGGGCTTTCTTTGTGAGCTTTTTCTGAGGTCCATCTTCTGTTGTCATCACAACATCCTCAGTACCCTGTTCTGTTGATGTGGAAACACACACAAGAAGAGTTAATAACTTGTTCCTTCTGACTTGTCGTTCAGATTTTAATGCATACGTACATAGACAGTAAACATTTTAGCCTTATGTTGTAACATAATCATAAGATTTGGATCTCACATAATGCGAGATGTCAAAAAGAGCTCAAAATTTTCCTCTCTGTAACATTCTGTATGAAATGAAGAACATTTAAACTGATTTAGATGTGGTTTAGTTGTATCATTCAGTGTATCATACTCACCTGCAGCTGCGTTATTCATGATCATTGAGTCTTCCTTATCAAATGTTTCTACTTCACTTTTGTTCTCTTCGTCTTTTTGTATGTCAACGAGCATCTCCTTGTCACTTAGCCCAAGTGTCTTCTCAAGCTGCGCTTTTACCCTTGGTTTTAACTGTTCTCTTCTCTGAGCTCGAAGTTTTCTTTTCCTTTTAGACCGAATGCTTTTCGCCATCTTGTTGCAAAACACACGTGTGCGCGGTGCGAGACTTGGTACCGAGGTTATGAATTTAGTGTTTTGTGTATGAGGTTTGACGTGTACCCACCGAAATGCAAATCACGGGCTATCCAAGATGGCGCTAGCTGCCAAAACTGCTAGGTTAGCTCTAGGAAGAACCATAATTGATGCGCAATACCTGGCGGACAGTGTGCTTTTCATGAATAGTAAGTATGAGATAAATAGCTGTAAAATATCTCTTCATTTCAATTTGGAGTTAGTTTTGTACTAAGAAGTACTCTATAATTCAGTGCTATAGAGATTATACAGGCTGTTGTAGAGGCACGTGCATGTAGTTAGGGCTGACTGGTTTGCCAGCTACCTTGTGTTTGCTTTCTTTAATTTTTTACAGGTGAAATTATAGCAATAAACAAACCATATGGACTGCCAGTACATTGTAAGTGGACATAACGCTTTCATAGTTCTTAACTTTAACTCCCAGAAGTGACTAGCATGTAACTTGTCCCTATAAAATCTATACATTATCCAGCAAACAGCTAATTAGAGTACTTCAAATTATCACGCAGAAGTTTTTGTCTTTATCTAACACCAAATTCTTGTAGCGTTTTTTACAAGGAAATGTGCAGCAGCTAGAGGAGAGAACAATCAGATCTTGAGAGTTTATGGGCTAATGACTTAATTATGATGTATATCGCTTGTGTGTCAAAAAATCTTTGTGTAGAACGCATTGTTTTGATTTGCTGTTATTTTTCATGAGACTATATGCATTTATAGCAGCAGTTGATCATGACTTCGAATTTGAAGTGGCAAATCTCCTTTAACCCCCCACCCCTGTCCCCTCTTCTCCTCCCTCATGATCATGGGAAAGGGTCACATAAAGGGAACTACTGATACTTCAAGATTTTTCAGGTATTTGACTAATTAAAAATCCTTTTTCTTTTTTTACTTTGTTGTTTTGAAGCTGGTCCTGGTGTTAAGATGTGTGTGATGAATATGCTTGATGAATTTACAGAAATAAAAAAGTTGAAGGAAAGACCAGAGCTTGCACATCGAATTGATAAGTGTGTAACTATATGCAGTTTTCTTACTTTGATGATATTGTATCTGTTTAGTTTTCCAAGGTTCAGGTAACTCTTATCAACCCTTTAACTCCCTCAAGTGATTAACATGTAACTTCTCCTTATAACACCTACACATTATCCAGCTAACGTGTAATGAGAATACTCAAACTTATCAAGAAGAAGTTAGTAGTCTTGATCTAACACAAAATTCTTGTGATTTATTTACAAATGTGTAGTAGCTAGAGGGGAGAATTAAAAATCAGATCTTGGGAGTTAAAGGGTTAAGTAATAGCTGATAAAGTTTGTATATTACAATGGGAGAGAACCCTATATGGTGGCCAGTTTGAAATTTTAACTTAATTGATTAAACTAATTGATTTGGTTGAATGCTCTCTTGGCCAAATAATAATTGTTCCAATCCACAGTGGTCCCACTGAGGGCAACCAAAGACAAAAGATGCATCCATTCATGAGTTGTAAGGCTAACTCTGCCAATCCACAAATCCCGTTTCATTTCTTTGAAGAATTTAGTTATCCCTAACACAGTATTTCTTCTACCTGTAAAGAATAATTTAAATTTGAAACTAGAAATAAAAAGATTTTGACATAAAATCAAATAGCTCTTATGCCAGTCTCCACGAGCCATTTTCACCTTGAAGCCTTTCTTTCAAGCTGACAACTGATGAATTTTTATAAGAACTTATTTCTAAAGCAATAAGATCAAAATGATATTCCCTTGAAAACAACATAAGGATAGGAAAGACTTAGGGAAAATGTAGCTCGAACAAGGTTTGAGGATGAAGTGTGAGCAATTTACATAATCATCAATTCAAGTACACTGATAGGTACATATGATTACTTAATTACAGGGATTGCAGTGGAATTCTGTTACTTACCAGGTACTCATTGTTTGCTTATGTTTTTAGAGTGTCAATTTTGTTTAAAAAAAAAGAGAAAAAAAATTAGCGCTTCTGAGATATGACATGCTTATACACAATCTTGGGATCTTAATCGGTTAAAAAAATATATATAAATTGCCCTTATTTTTAACATTTTGCTATACATAATTTTTGTTAGTTTTTTTTTCTTCTTCTGCACTGAATGATACTGAAAATCCCAATCAAGGGCAACACACTTGACATATTTATAGCAAATGATTTGTGTACTCTAGGTCAAGAACTGCAGCCACTAAAGTTGCAGAAATGTTCTCAGACAAAACCATTGGTAAACAATACTGGGCAGTGACTGTTGGAGTTCCGACATTTGAAGAAGGAGAAATTAACATTCCTATTGGGGAAGCTAAACTTGCTGGAGGATATCGAATTGCCACCAAACAAGACCTGATTGGAAAGTCTTCTGAAGTAAGGCAAAAATTAAAAGATAAATAAATAAATTAGTTGATCAAAGACAGATTATTTCTGTGCTTTGACTCAAACAGCTTAAAACAACTCAGCATGTCTTTTGCACTTTTTAAGGACAATCCTAGTAGCAGATGTTCATGGCTTAAGTCTAAGAACTTGTATCAATGGGAGAAACCATACAACTCAAGAGAATAACCTTTTCAAAGTTATACCTTGTCTTAAGAGAAGTTCTTCAGAATTGAGAAGACTGAATACTGAAGAATACTGTTGGTAGTAGCGATGAAGTTCAGGTTTTCATTCTACAATTTTAGTATAAACTATTTATTTATGTATTTTTTTATTTAGATATTAAGAGCTGCTGGCTTTAAACATGCAAAGACTAAATTCAAAATCTTGGATGCAAATCAGACTACATGTGCTCTTTTACAAGTGGAACCAATCACAGGATTAAAGCAGCAAATTAGAGTTCATACAGCAGAAGGACTGAAATGTCCAATATTGGGAGATCATAAGTTCTCTTCTGACATTCGACAACCACAGGTATACTAAGTTCAATAATAAGTGGGTAGGGGGAGGCAGATACTATTTTACTTAGAGAGGTTTGTGCCACAGCACTGAGGTATGTATGAAGTTTGGATTTTGAGTGGTTAAAAGGCTATGCAGTTTCATTTGTTAGCATCTTGAATGAAGTATCTGTCCAGACCAGAAACACTGAAAACTTGCAGCAGCCCACCAACCTTTCTTGATCACCCTCCCTCCCTACGCTGTGGGAAACTGTGGTAGGGCATTATTACCAGTCAAGGGGAGTTACCATTCTTGTCATATTCAATACTACTGTAAAATGAATAGCTTATGGTATAAATTTGGCAAGATGGCATAATTATGTTTAGTAGCAAGGCAAACAGGTAGTCCCATTGTTTAACAATCATCATCCTTTTTTTCTCAAAGGTTTTACCTCTGCGTTTACTACAACTTCTTCAAATTCAAGGTGTAAAGAATAAGGAAAACCCCACAGCAAAAGGAAAAATTAGACAATGGCAAAGAGCACTGATTCCTCTTCACCTACATGCAAGACAATTAACTTTACCCAACTTTTACAAAGGAAGAAATATCATAATAAAAGCTCCTCTACCTGACTATTTTGCAGAAACTCTACACAAATTGAAACTTCATCCAAAGAGAAAAAATATGGTGCAGGCTGAGGATATAACAGAGTATAACAGACTGAAGCAGCTTGGAAAGTCAACAAAAAAAATTGTTGGATTTTGAAGAAAACTGATAAGAGGAACCTAGGAATGAATAAAGCCGCAGTTTCAAGGAGATTCTGTTCCATCTTATCCATGATGCCTGCTTTTCCATGTGCAACATCCCCAAAACATTTGCAGAAAACTTTTCACCATCAAGGCATTTTTAAACCTTTCCCAATTGAACTAAAATTAAAGGATTCCCTCTCCTTCACCCCTTGAGAAGGGAGTGGCCTTTTAAGATAAAGCAGGTTATTTAAATTGAAACTGAAATGTGGTTAATATATTAAGTCTCTTTGACTCATTTATAATTGTCCAAAAAATGAGATAAATTTCTCACAGTTTTTCACTTAAGTCAAACCTATGCCACATTGCTACAGACATACACAATAAATGTTAATGCTATACTTATTTTCCATACGAAAAGTCTTATTAGTACCACCTTGAAAAGAGGTTCTATCAGAATATATGGCTGGATGACATGGCTGGAAGCTGGTATAAACTACGGTAATTGATATCAAAGTAAAATGGAAAACTGCTCCTAAGAAATTACAGTAGTAGAAAGGAATTACAGTTTGCTAATATATGTTACCAAGAACTGCAGTGGGTTGACTGGCAGAGTGCCATTTCCAGGTCTGAGAATAACCAGAGGAAAAACTTAAAAGATCCATTGAAGTAATAATGCTCAGTAAACTAACATCAAGTACAAACTTGGATGTCTTGTTGTCTATTCCACATAATCAAAGTCTTCTGGAATTCCAAAGCTTTTGTCGATCATTTTCTTTTCCAGCCCAAACTTGCGTTCACACCAGGATTTGATTGTAAACACGTTGTCAGTCCAGCGATTGGTACCTTCCTTCGACATCAGTGTTTCCTTTTGTAAGTTTTCTAGCACTTCTGGGTCACATTCACGATATCTCTCAAGCTCTTGTTCCAGTTCTTTACAAAGTTTTTCTTTTTGAGTCAGCTCTTCAAGAATCAAATTTCTTTCATCCTATTTTGCAAAAATGATCCATAAATAATTATCCTCATGAAAGGATGTTTTAAAATTTACTGAGTCTTCCAATTTTTTAAAATTCAATTAAATGAAATGAAATTTCATTAGGCCAAACATCTGAGATTGTTTTATTCAAGTGCATAACACAATCAAATAGTAGACAATTACAGGATAACAAATGAAGTCATAAAAATGCAAGCTACAACCTATTGACCAATAGACAAAAGATTTATAATTTGAGGTCTAATTAGATTGCTAAACAGAAGGTTGGTGATACTCACAGACTGTTCTCTGCCACTGCCTGCTTGCTTTAGTAGTTTTGTTGTAGAGGCAATTTTCTTTTCACACTCATTGACTTGCTCTGTAAGTTGTGTCAGTTTTTGTTGTCTCTGGGTTTAAAAAAGGAGTGTAGTTTGGAACTAAACTGTGCAATGGGGGTGCGTGGATGTAAATCTTGGAGTAAGGGGGGGAAAGGGGAAAAACATCACAACAGGAGCTTGAATGTCAGCAAGCCAGTGACAAGGATAGAGTGGGAGGTATCTCCTAAAAAATTTTGTTAGTACCAGGGAGAGAAAAGGTAAGAGACAAGAATTGATGATGATGATGATAATAGAGAGGAATGTACCCCTGTCTACCATAACCCTTCTGTTTATTTGGAACTATTTTAATCAGTCTCTTGGGGGCCTCTGATATTATACTCTTCACAATATTTCTGATGCCAAATCTATTGTCAACTTACTGTATGTATTGCTTTGCTTGGATAGGCCCAGAAATAAACAGAGGTACCAATTTTATCAGTATCCACTAGATTGTCATCCACCAAGCTTTGTACAACTTCCTTGACAGACATGGAAGCTTAACAACAACAACAAAAAGTTTAACATCAAATCTACAGATGTCAAAGACAACAAAAGACATTTAGATGCACTGCATTTTGACTTACTAATGCCTTTCTCTTTTGGAGCGATTTTCTCCAACTCCTTGAGTAGAAAAAATTCCTTCTGTTGATGTGAAAAAAAAGGAAAGTCTCGGAAACTTGAAGTTTTAAATTGTTAATAATTTTGGAAACAAATTATTTTGGTAGATATCAGGAGCCCATTTGTTGCCTAAAGAGTCTACAGCTGTAATCGATCAACCAGATTGAAATATTCTGTAACGAAGCCAGATAAACATTACCGTAGCTGTTAATAGCTCTGAACTAATGCACTCTGAAGCTTACCCTTTCAAAGAAAAGCTCCAACATTCGTGTTCTCTTCTCTTCCAAACTCAACCCACGCTTTTTTGACTGAAAATAGTCGAAATTAACGAGTACTACGATATGAAATAAAACACAAAGAATAGCGTAAGGTAAGTCAATTTCAAAATGAATCTCAAATTTACCATTTTCCCACGAAAAAATGTCTGACAAAACTCAGTAGCGATTTCTTGCTTTATTCAATATGGCGGGTAAATTTAATTTTGGCGCCAGTCTTCAGACCGGAAGTTTTTGTAGTCCCAATTTAATTTCCGGTAAAACTGCAAGTTCTCATGGGAAGCAGAGTGATAGGCAGAAAGGATGTAAACATGGCGGCAGGCAGAAGAGTTCATAGTTTGTATGATTTAGCAACTTTTACAACAGTTAGGAATTGTGATTTATTCAAGTTAGAGTATCGCTCACTGCCGAATGCCGTTCAGTGTGACATATATCGAACGGTATGTATTTTAATCCTTTCGTCTTACTTTTTTTTCGCTTTGTTACCCCGACAGTTAATGTTTACAAAATTTGTTTAGCTTGTAACTCCATGCGGTTTTGTTGTTATTCAGCTCTTCGACTCTGGGAAGAATGAGGTATTGGTATCCGAACTAAGTGAGTTAGATGTCGTTTCAAAGGCTTTAAAAGCTGGAGACACAAGGTAAATATAAAGGTATCTTTTTGTGTTTACAATTAAGACACTGTTGAGAGCATCGTTTGAAATTTAATTTCATGCCAATTGTGTCACGTCAGATACTTGAACGGTTTGCTACCTGAAGTTCTTCGCGAAAATAGAACTGATGAATGATTTACATAGGCAGTAACTTTTTAGAAGAAGCTAATATTGAAACTGTTAAATTTTACTAAATCTTTTACAAGGTAAAGCGACCCATTTTCCGTCAGGCGGAATCGCTATAAAGAAAAGATGAAAAGAGAAACGCTTTGTTAGTATATTTCGATTCCAATCCACGAAATTTGATCTACAAATATACAATCCTATTTGAAATCTTAAGGTGAATTTAACTTTCGCTGATGTAAAGGGAGAGATTTTCCAAACTTTTGAGTTATTTCCTCGGTACAGGAAATGCTTAACTAAACTGATTAAAGCTTGCATTTAACACGATAAAGCACGTAAAGCTTAAAAAATTATTTCTCTTTGATGAAGAAAATCTACACCTATAAGACAGATGCATCCTGGCTCAATCAAAAAATTCAAAACAAAATAGCATCAAACCAAGACTACTTGGTATGAACAGGTAACAGGACAAGATGGCAAATACCTTGAATGCCACTTTAGGCTGAGGAAGTTGTCACAATAAATGTATTAAATGAAAAAGATATTCTTAACAAATAGCACCTATAACTTGTTTACTTGTAATAGCTAAGGCAGTATTCAGGTTCTTTTTTTAACTCCTAACTTCTTATCCATTTCACTGTTTACAATTTAGCAATAGTTGTTTACTGATAGATTAACAAATTACCTGTGGGCAATTTGCTGGGAATTTTGGTATAAATTTACATACACAATGTAATTAGCAGATTACATGTAGCAATTTACTGGGAATTTTGGTATAAATTTACTTACACAATGTAATTAATTAATACATAATGGTAATAGGACTGAGGGGAGTCCACTTTGGTCTCTAATCATATGAGTATTAACAAAATCTGATGACTGTAAAGCAGGAATATGATTTGTTTATCAAGAGTATGATTACAGACAGAATTGGGCGACACAAAGGCCTGTTACCAATTAATCAAAACTATGAAAATTTAAGAAAGAAATAAGCATTTGTTATAAGTTTTTTTTTATGAAAAAATAACAATTTGAGAAAGAAATAAGCATTTGTTATAAGTTTTTAAAAAAAAACAACAACAACAATTAACCATGTGAAATGCACAACAACAGCGCATGCTTATGACAATTACTTTCCACTTTTGCAAGCATGAAGTGGCAACTATCCTATTACACTGTCCAATTACAAGCATGATGGGCACTGTCATATTAGTACTCAAATCAGGCTGGTTTATTAATGGTGAAATAGGTATTGACTAGGCAGCTGTCCAATGTAAATATTAGTGACATGTCTGGGTCCGAGCAGTTTTCAGCTAAGTATTGAAAGTGATCCTGGATTGCTTTGAGAAGACTCAACCCACCATTTCAACCAATCAAATACTAAACTTAAAGCAATCTCAATTTGGTCAATTATGTTTTCCTGGGCTTCAAGTTGGTTGCCTGTTTTTACTTTGAATTCTCATTGGTCAATAATGATGTTAACCTTTGCTCTGATTGGCAGTTATGATTACCTTGGTTTTGGTTTTTTGATCCTCAGTTGTGAACTGCTCTGATGGTTTTTAAAATTCATCAATTGATGTGTGATCAAACTTGGTTTGTTATTTTTCTCCAGGGTCAAGCTTTATGCAGTGTTCCAAGGTTTGAGAGAAGAAGGATTTGACTTATCAAAAGTCCTTTCAGCTGAGTTTGTCAAGAGGTGTCACAAGGCATTCAATGAGGGAGAAACATCAGATCGACATCTCATTCAGAAACTGTTAAAAACAGGGATGTCACTTGGTATGAGTAGCTTCTGAAGTGTACTCCATCCTTTAAACCATTACATCAGGTTTTTCTAAGTGTATGGTATACCTGTAAGGTTCTTTGGATTAATCTCAGGAGCAGTTATACTTGCTTTTTTTATTTCTTCTTTTGACCCTTTAACTCCCATGAGTGACCAGAAGAGAATTAATATCAAGCAGACCAGTGATAAGAAAAAAGAAAATGTCAATTATTAGTTGATCCAATACCAAACTCTCCAAACCAACATCATGAGAATTGTGCGGCAGACAGTCAGGAGAATTACTGATAGGATAGTGAGAGAAAAATGGTTAACCAGTTTCATTGATGTTTTAGGTGGTTTCCTATCAGAGGCTGGATGGTATGATGATGCAGAGAAGATATTAACTGTTAGTCACAAGCTGTGTAACATTAGAGAACCAGATGAATGTAGAATAGCTTGTAAATTTCTGACAAGGTACATGTGGTACTGAATACGTAGGTATATAAATCCTACCTGTTAGAATGTTAGGTGCAGGTATAGTTCAAATGAAAACATGCATGGTAAACTTCTACAAACTGCATTTAGTTTAAGAAGCCCTCAGCTACAACAACAACTGCCTTGAGGGTCAATCCTCCAGAACATGTGGGCCATGGTTACAGTAGACATTCTAGATAAATAAGTATGTTTATAATTTGGTTCTTATAGTGCTTTACCATTCTGTAAAAGTTGTTACCACATAATATTATTATTTATTACTGATAATGTAATGTAAACATCTTTCATAGACTGCTCCATCTTAGAACTGCAAATTGTAAATTTGACTCAGCAAAAGATACCTTTAGAGAAGCCACAGAAATGACAAGTAAGATAGCCAGCAAAAATGAGCTAGACATCAACTTGGCAGTTCTTTATGGAGAAAAATGTGGCCTGCTCTTTGCACTTAGTGATTATGAGGAGGTGAGATAAATTTGCCTGTCTTAAATTCAATTTAGTCAGGGTTGTCAGTAAGAATTGAGTTACTAGAATGTGATACAAACCAGGCGACTCTAGGGGTCATTATTGTCATGCTTCCATGCTGAAAATTTAGCCATAAACATTTGGAATAGCAGATGTGATTTTCAGAGTGGACACTGAAATGCAACACTTGCTAGCATACTTTGACAACCCTGTTTACTGTAGAGACCAGGTTTGAATTATATCAAGGAAAATGTCTGTGAGGGCAAAAAGATAGAGGTGATATGTTTTTAGGGGTTTTATTTCACCTAGAACCAAAGTCTACATTATTAAATAGATTTGTCCTCTGAATAGAGGTCCTAAAGAAAAGGTTCCACTGCTAAATAAATACTAGCAGATATAAGCTAAACACCTCTGAGATATGGAATTGAAAAGTCAAATTATTCTGGCCACAGCGTAAAGAGAATTTGTGTACAGAGATTTTGTCCTTGTGGTTACTTTATTCATTAGACTCTTTTGTCTTTAATTTTCATTATTCACAGGCATACAAATACAGCATGAAGGCCTTACAGAAAATTTGTCCTGGATTGCCCATGAAGGTAAATAGTTATGCTAAACCTATTAATGAATTAATTCATACTTTCATGGAGTATTAATGCAAGATTCTGTTTTTATAATACATCTCTAAGTGCTATATGTGCACAATATCGAAAAATAGAATAATCTTCCTAATGTTAGTGTATGGGAAATCTACAAAGATATGAGATAAGTTTTGATTCCCCAGTATCCAAAATCAGTTTCTTTTATAAAAGTCTAATTTCAGGCTTCTTTTTGTAGGCTGTAGTTGATATTCTAAGAAACGCATCCAAGGTAATGTGAGAGTTATTTTATGCTGATATTTCTTTTTGTCTTGTCTTTTTTCAATTTTGTGAGCATGTTTAATCAAATGATTCTGACAAGACAGAGGCACTATCTGCTTGATGGCAGTTGATTGAGGATGTTTGAAATGAAAGCTACATCAATTAATAATGCAGTCTTTTGGGACTTTTATTACCCAGAAAATCACACCATGCAAAATCAAAATTGGTAATAGAAACCCTTTAGAAAATAGGCCAATAAAAGCACCAAATGGAAGTGTGGTAAACTGTTAAATCCAAAATGAATAAACCTCTAAAGAGTGACTCTGCCAAAAAAGTGACAAACTGAAAAACTCGCACATGTGAAAATTGTATGCATAATAAATTCTCACCATGTGTTTTCAAATTTTAAGTCTCAAAGCATGTGTGCTAGTAGCACGTCATACCAGTTTGGTTTTGTCTTGTTAACAATACAATCAAATTTTGTTTTTAGTCTGTGATTAAGTGTAGTCAGTTCATTATTACCAACACTGTAAGTTCACTGTGTTTGCGCTATATTTATCGTTAATAGTGAATTCAAATCTTGTTTTCCATTCTTTTCCAGGCTTGTGTAGTGAAGCGCAAATTCAAGAAAGCAGAACTTTTGATAAAGCAGGCCATGTTTTTAACCAAGTATGTCCATTTTAAACTTAAATGACATTGTTGACATTTCAATATATCAAATTTCAAAGATGTTTCAAATGTCTTCAATCTGTGGTCTGATTTGGTTGAGTAGCTCTTATATTGTAAGTATTAATCACACATATATACTCATGATTTTACATGTGGTTTTTTTTTTGTTTTGTTT